CAAACTTTATATAAGCAAGTTTTGACTCCAGTTACATCCCAATAAAAAAACAAGACTATGACCTTAATTTAGCTCTTTTAACTCTTCTTCTTTTGAGGGTGAGATTCTGAGATCTTAAGAATCATCCGCTAATCATTTGTGCATTGCAGAATTACAACTGAGGACCAGATCTAAACAATCTACTGCACGGAAAAGTGACAGCAATATGGAGAAAACAATAAAGGAGAAAAGGGATCAGATATGCAATTACATCATCTTCACAAGAAAAAACAAGAGATGAACCGTTTGATGATCAACAGCTTTTTCTTACCTGTCATACAAATCATTCTGAATCTATCCTCTCTATACAGTATTCCATGTCTAGAAGAAGGGAAAAAAGAAAAAGAAAGAAATGTCTCAAAACAAAAATGCTATACAGTTTTCATGGATAAGTGGAGCTCACCTAGAAGCCAGAATTTAAAAGCTTGTATTTGAGAAGGAAAAGCTAAAATTGGAGAACAAGAGCAATACACGTACAAACTGAAATAAGTAAGGTTAAGAGATTCAAATTTAACTAAGGCAAAGACATGGGAGGTTTCCATCGAGAGAATTCAATCAAGTCTCTATTTACAATGGTGCCATTGTGCAGCCAAAACGTCTGAGGTGATTGGTGGAATTGCCTCACTTTCCTTTGAAGTTCCCACATTATTCCTTGCGTCGCTGAGCAGGATTCTGACTCCGGTGCATAAACAAATAGGCACCTTACTTGTCTACCACGGGCTATCATCCCTTCTATATCCTCATCTAAAAAGGAAACTCCATAGGGTAGGTACATGATGGCGTAATATTCGATCAAGAAAAGCACAAGGCAAGTACTCAATCTAACCTGGTATTGAAGCTAGGTACTCCAAGAGTTCTGGACCTATTCGAGTAGATGGCCATTTGATTGATGTCTGGGAATAATCAATTACATTCTGGAAAGGTAGTTCTACTTGATCTGATAGGATTACTGGAACACACTCCTGTTCAGCAGACATCATGTAAAATATTCAATTACTAATTGAGAGGATATATAGGGAGTGGGGAGAGAGGAAAAGAGAGAGAGACCACAAAATAAGACTCGTAAAAACGAAGAGTCCAGGATGATTCTCCGCGCGGTGCAAGACAGAATTTGGCATTCCGCAGATGTTCGAAATATTCAGTTCTTCCCAATTTGTCAGGCCCACTCAACTTCAGCTCTGGAGATTCCAGCTGTTCACATTATAAATATGCATAGTTTCTATAATTAAAGACTAGTCAAACAGTTGAGTCTCTAAATGACATTTAAAAGGGGTCAAGCCTAATGAAACAAGTTCCAAATTATCAAACAGTTTTTCTGGCTCTAGAGCCAAAACAGAAATAATACACACGCCAAAATCTCCCAAATAACTTTTCTGTCTGAGAAACCCAGAAGATTAGCTCTCAACCCAACAACCCTGTTTTCAAATCCTTCCAGTCTAAAAAAAGTGCAACTGTTACTTCTTATTTATTACTTGAAAACAAACAGCACATGGACAAATTGTCCTTCCAAATTAAATTTTCATGAACTCTTAATTAAGCACTTCAAAATTTGTGATAAGACTTCTTGCACTAATATTTACCAACTGCATGATGCAGAACAAGATATTAGTTTGGAACAATTTTCAATTAAAGGAGTTTTCTGTAATAATTATTATTTTGTATTTCTAAAGTATTTAAGTAATTTTAGGTTTATTTAGACATTATAATATTTAGTGGTCTATTTAGGTAGATTAAGTATTATAGGAATACTTAATGTGGCTATAATTAATGCCTATATAAAAGCTAATAGCTACTAAGAAAGAAAATAGAATAGATGATGATGAATTAAGACTTCCTTTGCTAAGACTTAATTCCATGTTATCTCCTTTTTTGTTTATTTTAGTTGTTATTATTTTGCCTAATCTATCCTATTCATCCTCCTTGTCCTTGTATTTCTTCAATCCTCAATTCCTGTAGTCTATCTTCGTTCTTTTTTTTTTTCTCACCTAGTTTTTTCTATTTTTAAGCTATCTGGTGGATAAGTCAGTTTAGCTGTTATCCATCATGCGTTGCTGCCACTAGAAATGAGGCATCAATCACGAAGAAGTCTTTTCCATCTCTCTCCTAATTTTCTTTAATAGAATTCACAGTTCATACTTTCTTATTTAAGCTCCCTCTGAGGCTATAGAAGTCCTACATAGTTGAATACTGTTAAAGAGAGTTTCTAAGATTCTTGGCTGATGATAACAAATTGTTAAGCTTAAATTTTATGATACTACCTTGTTAGGTGCGTCATAAAAAAGATAGTTTGTTCAAACATTAAATTTATTCTGCACTATTGAGTAAAAAACAAACAGTTGTACTTGTCAGAACGAAAATATATTGTTTTCCGGTTTTCTGAAATAGGTAAAAAAAATTTGATGTGTATTTTCTATTCAGCAATACTCTTGAATTGTTGGTTGTTGACATACATTTCTCCCAAAAAGTAGAGTCGGTGTAATTTTCTGTGTCTGCTCAAAGCTAGTAGCACAAAAACAAATTAAACCTCATTTAGTTGAGTGGTGTAAGGCACATTACCCAATACAGAAAGGAGAAGAAAAAACTGAGACAAAATGAGAACCCTCGATGCAGATTTAGAATGCGAACAGATGTCTGAACCGAAGAGTAAAAAATATTTTTCTTTTTTGAGAGAGAGAAGGTAAATATTTTTTTTGAAATAAAGAGGGCAGAAAGTAAATTATAAATCCAAAACAGTGTTAACGGTATATCACTCTACAAATTAAAAAAATGATAATCAGTAAGTCCAGAGACAACATACCTTGTCTGGATATTGCTTAGCAAGCTCTATTAATTTGAGACGACCAACTTTTCCTTGTGCACGACCCAAAAAGTTTGCCAAGTACTTCCTCTTTGACAAAGGCAAAGGATGGACCACGGTACCCCCATTTTTAGTCATACCATCATCAACATTTCCAGGAATGATGATATCTTTCCATGTATTAAAAGCACTTGTATCTCTTTTATCAGTACGGTCGCCCTGTATTCACAAATAAATCAATATTTTTATTATCTCAAAAAACTAAATTGACATATCTATAGGTACTGTAATCTTCCAGAAAATATAGTTTTACAAGTGATCAAATAAGCCATTTCCCCACATAAGATAGATTTCTAGAACCCGTATAAAAAACACTAGGGCCTCTGGCTCAAACTACTGATTTGATATTCCTTCTATAGTTCTCTTGGCCTCATCAAGGGTTTCTATTGATTAATTCTGGTATTAGGAGAAGTTTAATCCCCCTATGTTGAGCATCTAAGTACAGCAATTTCTGACAAATTTTCTCACTGATAGGAACTCAATAAACCTCGTGTGGAGGATCTTGATCTAGTGGAGAGCACATGATATCGAGGATGGTACATGTTTCGAAATAGTATCAACGTGTCAAGCTCATCAACATCAAAATTCTCTTTGCTTACAAATCTCATCTGGCCCCTTATAAAAATTTTTGTATGAATTTTTTCAGTGATATAAACTGCCATGGTGACTGGAACCAAATATAGCATTACTACTAGAAGTTATGAGGTTTATCTGTTAGCTCTCATACAAAATAAAATGCTGGAAACCAAAGAAGTTCCCTTGTATGCCCAATCATACTAAGCATTAGTAACACCCCAACACTGAATTCAAACTAATGATGAGATAATAAAAGTTTTAATCCTATTCTTCTCTCCACTCTCTTCCCATTAGGATCATTTATCTGCAATAGCTATTCTTGCATATACCTTGTGCCTCAACCCAAGTAATGCTTTTCTTCCAGTTTTTAGAACAATAATTTTAAGACCAGTATACACCAATAAATGCAAAATCAGTCCTAGATCAAATGTGTTAATTAACGATTCATATTTAACATGTTAAAAAGTGTAGACAGTACCTCAGGAGTAAGAATTATGGACCGATTTATGTATTTCGCCCATGATCTAAACAAGTGAGCACCAGCTCCGCTAGAATTACCAAAATCAAAGAGAAGTTGAATGCCAAATCACATTGAGCAGCTGATAGCAACAAGCCATTAAACAACTATTCCACAGAATAACTGAAACAGAATTAAACACTTATACCTTGGGAAGACAAATATGTGATCACGGCCGCCGGATCTCCTAAAATATGGCATTTGACTCAAGACCTGGAAATAGAAAAGGCATGAAATGACCCTAAAAATTTTATATTAAAGTGATTGTGGTTTTTGCCACATTCAACGTTTAAAGACCTTCTTTACCTTGACATAAGTCATGTTAATCTCTTTATCATTGAGACCCCCCATCATGCGAACACATTTGACATACGCTGGCACGAAGAACAGATCCGCTTCCTCTTTCCTTTTTGTCCTAAATCTCGATTGAAGAAGCAAGTTATGTATTTTAACCTACAATTTATGCATTCGAAAACATCTTCATATTACCATATTTATCATCAACAGATATAAGTTTCAGAAAGTTACAAACACTAAATTCAACTCAACCGAGTACCTAAAACACACTCAGCAAAGCAAAAATCACTGCTAATAACATTATGCTGATACAGCTTCAAATTACTCAACGCAAGAGGGATACATTTTCCAACGATAATAAAATTAAAGCTAAAAGGTTTGCAGTAGCACTCTTTTGAATTCACGTGGAACTTAAATAATATATCTGTAAAATTTGAAATCACCTGAGTGCCCCACTGGCCTTTGAGGCAAGCATTGGTTTTAACGTTGCCGTCTCTTCCGTACATCAAGTCTTTTAAGCCGTCGATCTCGTTCTGGTCGTAGACGTAGATCTTGATGGAGAGGTCGGAGCCATAGCCTCTCTGGGGCCACGAGAAGGGTCCTCCGTAGGCACCGGGTGAGAGGCGCTCGACGATTTGTGATGTGCGGTCATAATTATTAACAGAGAGAGATGTGTTGGCGCAGGGAGAGACCGATTGGTCGAAGACTCTGGTTAGGAAGAAAGTGGCTGCGACGAGAAGGAGGGCGCCGATCTGGTGGGTGCGGGTGCAGGGAGTGCCGGAGTGATTGTGCGCAATGAAGCTTCTTGGCTGCTTGTTTAGGCTCGCCATTTTCTCTGATTAACGTTTCATGAGGAGCTGCTTCGTAGCTCCGGCGAAGTAGTTTTGTTGCTCAGTTTATTGCCCTATGCTTATTATTATTGGGTAGATACACAAACTTTTATGGGTCAATTCAATTCTTCTTTCAAACTCGAAGAAATTAGACAGTAGTAGATTGACGTGGAAGGAAGAGTGAGGAAGTGGGAGATTTTGACGATGTTGAAATTTATGACAAGTTTGTATGAAGATTTTTTTAAGTACTTTTTAGGTCGAATTCTTGTGTTTCAATCCAACCAAAGAATCTCCTTAAAGATCTTATGGTTCTTATTCCATCCAAAACAATGAGATCGAAGCCTCTGTAACATGAAGAAAACGATCTTATTCACCTCCGACTCACCCATCCCAAATCCAAACCCAATTAAAAACTCAAACTAAGCCCACTACATTCAATTTATTTCTCCAGCCCCTTCATTTATTTTACCCATTCCGATCTATCTCTGGTTCAAAATTCAATATAACAGAGTAGGAATCAAGAAGCCCAGGGGAAGTTAAAGTAATAGTTGTAATATTTTTTTTTTTAGGAATTTTCTACTTCTACGATTCTGTAGAAGTAAAGTTAATGATAAAAAATTTGAATACTGTTATTCATAAAAATTATTTAAATTTATTTATACATAAAAATATATAGTATATTTTTTTATTTATTTCTTTCAAGTGCCTTTTTATTTTTTTTTATCCCATAAAAATAAGTGGAAAAGTACATTTTAATATTTAACTAAATATAAACTATAATTTTGAAACATAAATTTTCAAATTGTATATTTTGTATGGAGTCTCTTTTTTCTTTAAATTAATTTTAGAAGAATTTATTTTCAATTTTTAGAAATATAATTAATATTCTTTTGCAAATTACCCTTAATCTTAAAATAACTAACATTATGAAATTAATAATTTTTAAAAATCAATTCGTGTGTATATAGAAATAGCCATTGCATTTTCTTTTCTTTCTCCCAAAAAAAGAAAAATCTCTGGTCAATTAGTAGAAGAACACACGCACACAGGATGCTGCAATCTAGCATCACCATTAAACCGACTGCAATGGTAGAATGGATAGTTCTGTGGGTGCTGACGTGTATAGAAATGAATTCTACATATACATATATACATATATATATATATATATGGAAATGAAAGGCTCATGTTGTAATTAGTTAGATAAGTATATATTATTAATTAAGCGGGGAAGTGTTCTGAAGTGATGATCAGTTAACACGACGACAATCACGCCTAATCTCTCCTTCTAAACCTGTTTTCACATCAATATTACCCATTTTCACCATCGCTCCAGCAAAATCTGCCATGAAATCAGCCGAGGCTAAACCTACATACGAGTCAATGATTCTTCTCGTGTTATCATCATCATAAAGCCTGGCATCTGATGCAATCACACCGAATCCATTCTTGATGTTGCGCAGGATTTGATCGTCGAATGTCAGTTCACTTCCCCAATCAAGCGGTATTTTCACGTTCACATCTCCACCCAGAGGGCATTTAGCCTGGAGCTGTGGCAGTAACTCAGGGTTGATTGCAGGATCAGACCCACCACTTGAATTAAAATTGTAAAGCCTTGTTTGCATGAAGAAGCAAGCCGTCAGTCCAATTGTATGTGCACCTGCAAATTTGTACCTCAACTCAACAATCACGCATTTACATTCATGGGTTTGTATCTATATACAAAAACATATACTCTTTTGAGTGTATAGGTGTGTATATATACATATAAGTATATATATATATATACCTGCACTGAGAAGTACAAGATCGGTATCTGAAAGACCCTTGTTATTGAACTTGGATTTGAGAATATCAATAGGATCATCTACTTCTGGTAAGTTCTCGGCCAAGGACACGCTTGAAATCCTTCCATCTCTTCGCCCGGTGGGGACTTCATAGAATGGTCCCTGAACCTGCAAATTTTAGGAAAGACACATTATGATCTGAAACTGGGGAAGTGTTAAGTAGTGTAATAATGATTTGGGAGGAAAAGGAGATGAAGCATTTAATGCATATGTAACTGCGGGTACCGATAACACGGCATCTCTTGCGGCTAAAGCCACAATATCGGCACAAGAAACTACACCAGGGCAAACCCCTTCCAGCTGCGTTTTGGCGTCTTCTACGATCTCGAAACCGCCCACGCCCAAGTTACCACCTGCTTCTATTTCGCCGTGCTCGGTGCTGATCAGTATTGATGCATCACAGCCCTGAAAATAAATGCCAGTAAATGTTTCAGAGATTTCCTAGCTGTAACTGATAGACCATATACATATATATATATGGGTGTAGAGAAAAAGAGAGAGAGAGAGAGAGAGAGAGAGAGAGAGAGAGACTTGAACAAAGCAATCATGGAACTGGAGCCTGAGCAGAACGGCAGCAATCTTGGGATCATCGGCAGTGGAGTCTTGAACGACCTTGCGGATAATAGATTCAGCGGAGGGACATGTCTTGGCGTAGAAGCCAACTCGAAGTTGACCCACCACTGAAACACATCTTAAGAGGCTCGCCGTCATGATTACAGTCACGGCAAAAGCAAAGGCCTTAAGATTGTAAGTCACCAACATTTTCAATGGCGTTGCTACGAATAAAAATGTTCAAATGAGCAACAAGAACAGAGACGTAACCTTTTCCTCCTGCTAAAGGAATTTATATATGCATCCAAAAGTCTCTTTTTTTGTCTCGTTGCTAGCCATAATTTCCGACTGCATTTCGTGTTATTTAATTCTTTTTAATTTTTTTCCATTTATAGTACCAGCATTTATTATATACACCTTTAATTAAATTACTCCGCTCAAATTTAGATGCAGTTAAGGATAATCTGTGACAAGTGGCATATAAACCTTTATATCATTTACGTATGGATAATAAGGGTTTGGGTGGATCAATTCTCTCTGTTGAAGTTGCTTAATGATATTTGAAAGTGCATTTTGGGATATCAAAAATTTTCAAATTTAACTTGGAACTCTATGTCTTATGTAAGGAAATATATATATATATATATACGTTTTCATTTATTTTTGTTGATTTTGATTGTTCAAAGTTTGAGTTTTTCTGAGGAAGAATGACGAGGCAGCAAGGATAGATGCTGGTGCTACAGATGCTGAGGGAGGAAGCTTGCTTTATCTGAAAGTCACCAATACAGATGCTATATTTCCACTAAGTTTACTTTTAGGATTCATGCAATCTCCATCAGAGGAATTAATTGTGATTAGTTCGTTAATTGTAATTAGTCATTAATTAATTAAATTAGTTGTAATCTGTTCTACTTAGTTGAAATCAATTTTAATTAATTAATTAATTAATCTGTTAAACAATTATTAGTTAATTAAATTGTTAATTAGTATTAATCTTTCTATGTATAAATAAATACCTAATCTTTATTAATGAAAAACCAGAATTCATTTTTCTTTTCCTTCCAAACTCTCTCTCTCAACTTTTGCAATCTGGCTCTCTGGCTCTCTCTCTCTCTCTCTCTCTATCGATCTCTATCAGCTTCCTTTTCCTTTTCTAATTCTTCAGTAGATCAAGTCTGATCTTGTTTACGATTTTGTCAATCTCTGAATAGGCTACATTATTAGACTAGGAAAAGGTTGTCAAGGTACGTAAGAGAAACAATTCAACCACAGGATCAAATATGGAAGAATTTCTAAAATGAGGTTACACGGATTCAATTACAATTATTCGACAGGATCCTTAGATGGCTTGAGGGGCACCTCTTATTATCTATTTCACTAGTTGGAATTCAAGGAAAAAAAGATACCATGACACAGTTCATAGCAGAGGCCGAATATATTGATGCGTCGTATACTGTGAATCAAGCAATTTTACTCAAAAAGTTGCTTGATTATCTTGACCAAAAACAAGATGATCCAAAAACTATTTTGTCTCTCTACCAATCAGCTGTTGCAATCTTCAATAATCTAGTTTTTTTATAACAAAACAAAGCACATCAACATCAAATACTGTTTTTATGAGGGAGTCTGAAAAGAATAGAGAACTAAACCTAATCCGTTGCAGGTTTGAAGCTCTACGGCATTGTCGGCAAACGAGTGTTAAAGGGTTGGCAATTTTCGTTATCGATTGCGAAAGAGAATGTTTTATTCAGAACTCTAGTTTTAGTCAAGAAAGACAATGTATATTTTCTGTAGTTGAATTATACTAGCTGTCGTGGAAGTATTTAAGCTTGTTTTCAATGAAGCTGCAGCAAATTTAAGCCCCAAATAATTTTCTCTTCTTACTTCTACTCTCTTCCCTGCTCTATTTCCTCTGTTTTCTGCAGTTTCTATTGCTTATCTGTTCTGTCCATACAAACACACACACACAGCCAACAGCCAACAGATACATACACACGGATGCATATACCCTTTAGCTGACAGAAGATGGCCTTTAATTTGTACGTGCTTGTTCGGGGAATATATATACATACATGTAATACAAGGAAAATATCTCCATTGAAGCGATAACATTTGAAAGAGCACTAATATTAGTGTTAAAAAATAATGTTGCTGCAAAAAATATTCTGAATCGGTTAAGGGCAGGTGAGTCTTTCTAACTTGACTTGCTCAAACTCACGTGTTAATCATTTAGAGATGGGTAATTCTCCAAATTAATTGACATAAATTCTTCTCCATGTATAATTCAGATATGTGTATGTGTTTTTCTCCACATATAATTGGATGTGACTCCACTTCTGATCCTACAACTTGTCACTTCTCTATATCATTTTCTTGAGAGGTGATGATTTGGTTTTCTTGTAGAAAATGCATATATCAGCAAAGTAACCAACGAATAAAACTAAGAAATACGGACATATATATATATATATTTATATATATAGTCTGCTTCCATACACAGTATCACTATTACTTGAAAGCTCCCAGTTCACTTGATGAATATATTGTAGAAACACCAAACGCCCAAATCAATTCATCCTTAGCTGAACTTAAAACAAAATTACAATAACTTAATTAACCCAGAAAACATACATCAAAATATTGCTGAAACTAGAGTTCATGATGGAGGTAGAGGGTATATAATTAAGGTTTCAAAACTGTGATATTGTTGATTTTTTTTTTTTATAAGCGGGTTAATTAGTACAAAAGATAACAGAGAAGGGGTCCTGATCTTCTTACTCCATGAAGTACCATATGTCATCCATGTCCCGTAAAACATCGGCCACGTCGTTAGAGCTTGGCCAATCAGCGTCTAAAATCTGGCAGTCTGGAGGAGGAAAACTCTCATAATAGTTGGGAAGTACCGCTGATGAAATGGAGGCAACGTAGGCGGCCATGTCATTGTCCAGAGAGTAATTAGCATGGTTTGGAATGTGGGTTTGTTGGGTGTTGGAGTACAGGTGCGGAGTTGTTGAGCGTTGCTGTGGAAATATACCATACATTGACATGAAATCTGAAGCGGGCAAGGTTGAAAAATTCTGAAGATGATTTAAACTGTCTGCAAGTGTGGAGGTGTTGAGCGAGTGATGGTGGGTTGCCGTCAAACAAGAAGAAGAAGAAGAAGAAGAAGAAGAAGATGATGAAGAAGAAGAAGATGAAGAAGAGATGATGAAGAAGAAGAAGAAGAAGAATGAGAAGAAGTGTTTTGCATCCAGAGAGAACGAATGGAATCAAGGTGGCGTGCTTGTTTTTGCACCCGTGTTCTCCAGTAGTTCTTGATCTCATTGTCTGTTCTTCCAGGCAGATGCTGTGCAATTTTTGACCACCTGGGATTTTCCCAAACAAGAACCATTCCTCATTAATAATCCTAACACAACTTCATGTTATAAATATATATGATATATAATAATATGATAATGTAAATATACCTGTTACCCCACTTGGAATGAAGTTCAAGAATCAAGAGCTGCTCTTGTGGAGTGAGATTTCCTCTCTTGATGTCAGGTTTCAAATAATTTAGCCATCTTAATCTGCAACTTTTTCCAGTTCTCTTGAGCCCTGCAGATCATAAATCATAATATATATATATATATAAGCAGAAACCAATTATATATGTAGATATATGAAATTAGGGATGGTTATGAAATGGGTTACCTGCACATTTGGCTAGCATATTCCATCGACCTTCCCCATGGCGAGCAATGTAATGGGCGAGCACGGTGTCTTCTTCAAGAGTCCATGGTCCTCTTCTTAGTTCACTAGTCTCCTCTTCATTGGCCACAGTTCTTGTTCTCATCATTTTTGTTTGTGTTATAATTAATAAGCAAAAGCAAGAGGAGACAAGTGAGATTTATATGGAATTGAGATTGAGTCGCTTATTTATTGCTCAACTTGGTTCTTGCCTTTATCATCTCCCTGCATATGCCCTACAAATCATATCTATATATACATACATACATATATATATATTTAGGTGCAAAATAGTGATATACGTGCAGTGAACTGTGGTGATGGACTAGAAATTGGAAAATTTCGAGATTTTTCTTTATTAATCATCAGTAAAGAAAATGAAGGAAATCAGAAAACAATTATATCAGCTGAAAGGAAATGAAGTGGGTCCTGTTCCCAGCTAATTCCTATACACGTACATCGGGTATACATACATACACACACACACACACACACACACACACACACACACATGTATTTGTTTCTTTTGTAACATGTAAAATTCCTCCTTGATTCCTAAGTGCAGACTTACTAAATTATTTCTATTGTGCTTGGACTCAAAAATCAATTTGTTGAGCTACATAAAAATTATTGGTCAATTCAATTTTTAAATTTTAATTATTTAATTTAAAAATTAATCTTGATTTTTGATATTATCAATTTATATTTTATTTATCAATAAAAATATTTTAAAAACAAAATAACGTTTAATACCCCAATTAAAAACATTAATTTTATTGTATTTTTATTATTATTTCGTATAATTAAGTTTTTTAAATATATATATATATAAGTGAGAATACATATTTGATTAGGAGGTGATTATGTCAAAATCCTAAAAATTTGGAAGGAAAATTTAATTTATTCGAAAAATTAATTAAAAATGTAATTAAGATTTATGAGAAGGGCACTAACCAAATTTGCTAATGTACAAGAATTTGGATCCAAAACATAATTAGAATAATTAATGTTAGTTTTGTTTTTTAGCATAAATATTTTTAATAATTTTCTCCGTAAATGAAATAATTAATTTTATAAATTACTAATATAAAAATATTAAATACTGAATTGTACAACCTCATCCACGAAGCAATTATTAAAAGAGCATTGTAAATATATTAGCTAGATGGTAATTATTATTAAATGATTGCAATTTATGTTTTATTAATTACCTAACACATATATTAATCATTGATATATATATTTTTTTGAAATAAAGTAAAATTTGATTTAAATTTATAATTTTTTTATATAAATAACAAAATATCAATCATCCGGAAATTATTTAATCAATAAATAGGTAATTTTATTAAAATAATAACAGTGAAAGAAAAACAAAAAACAGTAATGGAATCAATAATTGAAAGGAAATTCTCTCTTTAAGTCGAAGAGTTGCTTGTTTTTTTTTTTTAATTCTTTTTCTATTTTACAATGTAAAAGCTAAGAAAAATACTCTCTCACACTCGGGTGTACTCCATCATAAAACTAACTCTTCGCACATATATATATATATATATGTATATTCCTACAATTATTGTTGTCTGTGTGTGTATATATTAGATATGTATATATATATGTTATGTTGAATAGGATAATTATCCTTGTCGGTGGGGGACTAGCAGTGGATATATATTGCCCTTGAACATCAACTTCATTGATTTGAATTCTAGAGATCATTGCATGCAGCAAGAGGGTAGGGTGACTGATGTATATTATTATATATTATACAGACATGATAAATGATGGGTGATTTTGTTTTGATTAGTCTACACTTCAACTACCATTTTACATTAATCATTTAGTAATTAGTGATATATATATATATATATATATTATACATAATATTAATTAAGTTCTGTTAATTAAAAAAAAAATACCATTTTAATTTTTTGTGAGTACTTCAATTTTAATTAAATTTAATTATTTAAAAATATTTATTTTATTTAAAAACATAAAAGAATTAGCGAGATTAACTCCAACAAGGTATTTTTAATAATACATTAATCAGTTAAATTTTTAATTATACATTCACAGTAAACCTATAAAAAAAAAAGCAAGTTATATGTATTTAATAATGTTTGAATTTGTGATTATATATATATGTGTGTGGGTGTAGAATAGTTTAGAGCAAATGGTGGGAATTAATTAATTTATGAGAATTTTTTGAGGTCGGCCATTACTTTAGGTGTTGGTAATGACAGGTAGAGCACTTTGTATGTAGCAAAAGAATGAAAAATCATGACTGCTGTAAAGCACTTAGACATGCTAATTCATTGATGATTAGTTGACTAATTACAAACTGAAGAATGATTCCCCCACAACCAACACCAAACTCCATGCCTTGCTTCCGTGGAACAGCTTATGAATGAACCAAATATAATACCCATTCATCTCCCTGTTCCATATATATACATACATACATACATATATATTATTTTATTTCAATATAATAATAAATATTTAGAAAAAAAAAAATTATATATATATATATATATAGAATAGTGAATTTTAAAATTTTTGTTAAAATTTTAAATTTCAAATCTTAATTCAAGTTTAAGAAGAAACTTTTTGCGAGAAGACGTTTAATAAGAAACTTGTACTTTTAAAGTTTTTTTTTTTTTTTTTTTTTTTTTTTATCCACACAACAAATTTTTGTTATTTCTGTAAGAAATATATATCAAAACAAATTTGTAAATTAAAAAGGAAATTATAAATAAATAAATAAATAAAAATCAAATTACAGTATGTCCCAAAATAAAGACTAATAATAGTCTTTTTATCTTTTTCCTTTCCACTTCATTTGGGGGAAGGACATGGATTTCAAAAGAGAATATCATATCCTAAACTCTCTGCTTGCCAACACATGGAACCTTTGTCTACATTTATGACTTTTCTTAACCACTAAACTGTCCTTCTTCCCTAAATAAAAATCACAAAATCTCACTGCTTTTCAAACACAATTCAACCTTATTTTAAACTTTTTTTTTTTAATTTTAAAAATAAAAACTATTCAGATTTAAGTCGGTATGCCCTCACATAGAGATGCGAGAGAGCAAGGAATTAATTATACAGAGCCTAACAAAAACCCTAATGAGAAAAAGCAGATTAAATCCTAGTGAGAAAAAATAATAATACCCTGTGTTCTTTCCAAAGTTATGCTTTTATCTTAAGATCAACTAAATACGCCCTAAATTGTGGAAATAAAAAATGTATAGTGTGAACCAGAAGTTCTGACTTGAAGGATGTTCAACCGTATGATGGAGCCAGGCATTCATCAACCATGTCCACAAGGTTTGGGTTCTCCAAAGCTGCTGCCACACGTTCTTTATCATTGAGTTGCTTATTAACTGCATTAAGATAAAAGTAAAAGAAGGCACGAGACCAATGGATAATTTAGATATATAATTTAGCAAAGAATCCTAGACCCCGTTAAGAGGTACTTTATCCAACTAGACATCCATATCTGAAATCCAGTAGCTAGTATTTAAAGAACAAATTTGTCCCTTCACCCGGACCAAAGGAAAATGGTGAAAGAGGAACACCAACAGACCTTTCTCCCTACATGCATAAAGAATTCGAGCATAACCGCATTATACGAGCAAAAAAAATAATAATAATAAAAACGATACATCTCCCAACCCACAATCACTATTCTAATGTCTATACAAAACTCTCCCTACCAATTAACACAAACATGTGCACAAGACAAACAAGTGGACAAGTGCATAAACACACACACACACACCCATGGATAGAGCGAGAAGCATACCTGCAGCTTCAGTTGCATGAGTTCCAGGTGCAACCCTTATGTCCACCTAAAAGAATAATATTATTAAAAAGGAGAAAAAAAAAAAGCACAGGAACTGCGGAATAACAATGGACCACGACTCCCGAAGATGCTCATCAATTCTATGCAAGCAAGAAATAGGTACTTAGGTAGGACTAAAATTAGAGAACAAATGATTTCTTGGAATATTATGCCGTCTGTATTTTCCATGTCTATGTCCTGCTTACTCAGCAAGTTCATTTCTTTCTGAATTTTTAGGGGTAGTCTAGTTATAGGAAATTTCTTTAAAAGTTTTATTGTTCATTTCTTTCCAAGTAACTCAGAAAATAGTAAGAGGGATTAATCTGAATTTTTTACTCTATTTTCTGTGGCCATTAGTTAATGCTTGCTTTTTCTGCAATAATTCGGACATTGGCTGGTATGTTTTTTCCTCATTTTCAGTGGCATTTTTACTTAACTAAACAGGGAGTGTAGCGGAAAATATCAAGAAACTAAATGTTGTTTAGTTTCAGAAAATTTAATTTGGTTCTGAATTTCTAAGAAAATCACAAAACATGTTTTTCGATGTTTTCCAAATTGGACAAATAGTTTTCTAACAGATATACTTGTTATTGTTATGTTAACATGCTTTTGTTTCTTTTTCAAAAAAGGAAAAGAAAGACAAACAAGATGGAAGTTCTTGAAAAACAGGAAAAAAGAAGACAATTTTAGTAATATTTTGAACAAATGGTTCCATAATACTAGAACATAGCATCAACCATTATGATGATTTAGGGTCAATTGTAGATATATTAATTGACTTGTAAATCCTTTTGTACATGGGTTGACGCCCCATTTCAATATATCACTATAAAAATATTAACTACTAGCCACAAAAAACCAAGTCTTAAGATCTCTACCAGTCTTTTGGTTTTTTTTTAAATAAAAAGTATAGTGTATAGTGTATATTGCCATATTGACACCAAAGGAATGTCACTCATGTACAAAAATATTTACAAATCAGTCAATATTTCTATAAAATCTCCAAAATCCTACACCTTATTACTATCATGACCTAAGTTTAGAAAGCCTATATAATGTAACTATCTTATTCCTAATCTAAGTTATCTCTCCTTCAATCCTCTCAAAAGCTCTCTAATTTCTTTCTTTCCAAACAAACCGAAAAATAGCAAGTGGTATGAGATTTACAATTTTTCCCCCTTATTGATTCTTTCACAATCCCATAATTCATCTCTCACCGATCCTACAAATCATCCTGGGTCACTACTTTAAGCAGTTGCAACAACCATCTCATTGGTAATAAGGGTAGTATCTAAAATTTGCCTACCTCCCATTAAAGCATGTTGAGCTTCCTCCACAACTCTCTCAACCGCCTTGACTCAATCTTTTTTTGAAAAAAAAAAGTGTAAAGAATGATATTCACACAGTACCAAGGAGCTGTCATGCGTATGCTAAAAGTTTACAATTGTGTAAGAATATCGAAAACTCTTCCAAAATCCTCCATCCCTATAATATCATGCCCCAAAAACACGGATCCAAAAAAATGCAACCATCTATCCCTTATTTTGGGTATCTCACCTTCAATACCCTCAAAAGCCCTACTATTTCTCTCTTTCCATAATACCCAAAATACAGCAAATGGAATAAAATTTATACATGGTCTCTCTGCACATAATCCTTCCCAAGCCCATAGTTCATCTTTTACCGACCCCGCCACAACCCAATTTACCCCTAGCAGACCGTAAACAGTTGCCCATAATTCATAAGCTACCGGGCACCATAGTAGAAGATGATTACATGATTCAGCAACTTTCTTACACATGTAGCACCCATTTATCATTATTTTGCCTCTTCCCATAAGTTTGTCAATTGTCAATATGCACTCCTGACTCGCCTCTCGGGTAAAAAAAAGCTATCCTTGGAGGCGCCTTCACTTTCCAAATTTGGTGAGACAGATTGGGACCTCATTCAGCAGAGGTTCAAGAGATATTTATAATAAGACTTAACAGTAAATTCCCCATTCTGTTTCAGTTTCCATTCAATCTGATCCATACCTTCATTCACATGTAATGTCGAAAGAAGTAAAAGCATAGCTTCATATTCTTCCACGTCATTTAGGTTCCTGTTCACATTCACAATCCATTTACTATTGCCATTGGTAACTCTATACGGATCTTCAATAAACATGTTTTTTGATTGGGCAATGGCATATATTCTCGGAAATTGATTCTTCAACCTACCATCTATCACCTCCTCATCCAACCAAAAGTGAATTCTATTTCCCCTCCCTAACCTCCATTGAACGCAATCTTGCATTTTATACCTATCCATCAAAATCCTCCTCCAAAGCCCTGCCCCATGCCGCCTCAGCCTTTGTCTCCTATCCTCTCTCCCCTTAATCCTTCCCCATCGAGCCTCAATAACGGTTTTCCACATTCTGTCATCCTCCCGTAAGAACCTCCACATCCATTTGCCTTGAAGTGCCACATTCATCTCTGTAATGGACCTTAGACCCAAGCCCCCTTGTTTAGACCCTGCCTTGACTCAACCTTCTAGCGAGGAATTTGGCAATAAGCTTGCAAATGCATCCCATTAAACTGATTTGTCTTAAATCCTTAATGTAAACTACCTTTTCCATCTTAAGGATAAGCAATAAAAAGGAGAAAACAAGGTTGCAAAGAAACTAGGGAACTCAAACTCATTAAAACCTACAAGCTCCCAATAGTTAAAGTAAAGCCAAAGAGGTGAAAAAAAACATTTTGAAGAATGGTTCCCATCAATATCAAATTTTGATAATCCTATTAGAATAGAGAAACAAAATCCAGGAGATGCTCATGAAAAGCAAAGATTTTGAAATAGATTAAGATCTTCCTTCCTAGATCTATGCAGGGGTAATGAGACATAAGCTTCTCAACTCATAGCATCTTATCTGTAGCATCTCCTACTCCTATCCATTTTCTTCTCTAACATTTTTGCTTCCAATGTAGATGATCAATTGCGATGTTTACCAAATATTTCTGGAAAATTCAAAGATCAGCTTTATTGTTTGGCTCTTCAAAAGTCAAGGCGGAGTCTTATGCTTTAAATCCTTTCTTATTAGCATTTCTTATTCATAGTTGAATTAGAATTAATTTAGAGCACTATTAATAGCCCATAATTTTTCTTACAAGACAGCTATTAGCTACTGAATAGTTATCCTAAGAATTTTTTCAATATCTTAGTTGCTTGATGCAATCAACCCCAGGTATAATATATAGGTTAACTCCCTCCACTAGTAGGCAAATTGATCCCTAGTTTGTCCTACATCAAAGTAGTTTTCTTAACAAACAATTCTGTGAAGTAGATCCAAGATTAGTGAAAGATCAATTTTTTACAACCAAGAGTTTTTTATTGATGCACTGACTTAATGCAATCAAACACATATTCCCAATATTTTATCCCAGCTGCTTGGAAATACAGTTTCATGTGCGCAAAAATGTGCAATACTATGGCCTTAAGTCTCTACCAATGCTTTGTTATAATTTGCATTTATCATGCCTCTGAAATGCAAAAGCATCATCAAGACT